GTAAAGCTTATCAACATCAGTCTTGTTTGTTGTTTACTCTAAATCCATGTTTCTGTCTTTGTGTTTTCTGTGCATGGTCGACGTTCAGTTTAACTACATGCATGAGTGCTTTGAGAGAGTCTTCTGTGAGCTCAAGTGGAGGAAGGAGGTAAGGACCATCTACTAACAGTCTAAACTACTCTATTATGAGCCATTTCTTTGTGTCCTTTACTCATACCTGTAATGTGTGTGCTTGTACAGGTGGAAGAGGAGGCTACAGACAAGGACAATAAGAACTGCAGTAAAGATGGTATGTGTGGCAAGGTAAGGCTTTGCCTGCCTCTGTCCAGCCTATGAGCCAGTGATAGCCTGAGCGAATTTCTCTGTTTTCTTTCTCTGAGTTTGTGTGTCTTCGTCTTGCTTGCTGTTTCCGCTGCAGAATATTTTCCAGCTGCTGAGGCACAGAAGGGATGGAGGCACCTAGGAAGGGAGATCATTACCTCTTAACTAGACAATGACTCAGTTCAGCCCTCATCTAGCTCCAGACATAGCAACACTCGGCTATTAACTCCATGGTCATCTTTACACTTCATCAGCTACATCCTGAGAAGCTACCCCCCACCCCGATGCTTGCAAACCAACAAGCATCTGCAAATGAACAAATCAAATGAACGGAAGCATAAAACACTACAGACACATGAACCAGAACTCTTGAATCCAGCACATCATAATCATGCATTAAACAAAGTCATGGATTCATGCAAGCCTTCTTCTTTCTGGCAGGGACTTGAAGTGGAACATGACTTGTACATGAGGAGTTTTTTAAAAGCCTCCTCTGAAGAGGAAACTGAAGTGAATAAGGAAATATTCACGGACTAACAAGGGGAAGTGAAAGCTGTCAGTGCTCGCATAGGGGAACACGGATTACACTGATCAGCGATACTGAGGGTTCTGAATTTATGGATCAGAGCGGCAGTGTCTTCTTTGTCTTTTTGGCCAGTTGTTAGCATGCAACTGTGTTTGTGTATGTTAACTATGCGTGCAGGGAGCCCCAAAAGGCAAGAGGCCAAACAGAGTGAGGCCCTCAGGATGTTAAGTCACACTTTGCATACATTTTCATCTGTTTGCCGCTAAATTTGCATTTATAAAAGAAAACTATTAACATTGTAATGTGGCAATTTGAGAGAAGGGAGAGAGAAAGCAGACATTCTGTAGGATTGTTAGACATTTATTTTCCCTCACAGCTGTGATGATTTGACCCATGAGCAGGAACATGGTAAACCTTAGACTAATGTTGCACTTAATCCAACAGTATTATCAGACTCCACATTTGGGAAATGTGACCTAAGGAGCAGATAGTTGACGTAAAACTGGAACTAGCCTGTACTTAGTTTACATTTGTTTTTGACTGACTGACTACAGTATGATTATGTACTGCATCATCAAATGGTATAGTGCAGTGTGCATTCAACATGTTTGCATTTATAGTATTATGTGAACACTCCATGCAAATGTTTTGAGGCCATTGTAGAGCAGCAGCGATGTGGAGCACTGATCAGACAAGTGGCAGTGTAGTACAGCATATTTAGTGTGCATTACCCATACAAGACAGCAGGGGTCCTTCTCTTCCTGTCTTTTCTCTCTTGCAGGCAGTGATTACTTTGTTTGTGAGAGCTCCTAGGGGCTTTATAATAGGCCTGTAATTCAAGCAGCCTTTCCACTTGCAGCACTATTTATCTCTGTGGCTGGTACTTTGCTGTACTGTTGAACCACTTGCGCACTCCAGAAGCGGGAAGAAAATTTCTTAGCAAAAAGGGCAGCTTGCATACTTCATCAACATGATAGATGGGAAGATAACTGCACATTCTCTAAAGGCTTTGTGGCAACGGATCACATAGCTGCGGTGTAATGGAATAAACAGTGTAATTTAATGTCCCTCTAAATGAGCCCAGTTAATCTTCTCATTCCTAGAAAAATAATGTAAAAACATAATTCAAACTGATAAAGAAATAATTTAATTGCAGCTTATTCCGTCATTAAAACTTGACACTCTTAATGCTGACAATAAATGTGAATAATTGCTCAGTGCAATATTGTGATGTTACCCTATTCAATCTAAGTGACTTGATTGCATTATCAGCTCATTTAGAAGGACATTTTTCTTACATCAAAAGATATTACACGTTGAGTTGCTTCTATCTTTCACAAGATGAGTCTGCCTGTTAGTGCTGGGTGATTATGGTTGGTGGTAATATTTTGATATTTCAAAATCAATGTACTGTATCTTATAATATGGCTAATTTATGCAAAATCACATGTAAGATAATCAAACGGATGCTCAAAGCAAAGACGCTGGGGCCATGTGATCACGATATGATCCCAGTGAGTACACCATTCAGATTCAATTATCGCCCAGCTGCAACTCTCCATATCTAGTATTTTTGTTATCAACAAGCAAGTAACGACTCCTAGATTGACATCAATGGCTCTTACTAGGAGTGCTTGTTATAATGATGGTGCTGTTCACAAAAGCCATTTTGGGTGATTAACGAGCTTCAATAAGGCTTGGTGGGTGTGTAAAGGAGGTTTAATTGAATGTCTCAAGCCTTGAATTGAGAGACTGAATGTGCAATCCTAAAGGCTGAACACATTTCCCAAGATTCTGTTTGCTGGACCGTGTCAGACGCGGTCGATTGTCTCCACCCCATCCCCTCTCTTTCTCTCTCTCTCATCCTGACTAAAGTTAGATGTCATGAAAATTATTTATTTCCGTAAGATACAATGTTAAATTCAGCGTCTCTGATGTTAAGTTAAGCCACACTAAGAAGAGGATGGAGATTGACAACCTGCAGATTCTTTGACATGTTGAAATGTAAGATTTAAAGATCCAGTGTTTGATTACGTCGCTTACTGTAATAAATTGTAACATATTCTTTTAAATAAACTGATTTATTGATGTAACATTGTTTTTATTTGTGTGTTGGGGGGGTTGAGAGTCAATTACCGCCAAAATCATGAAGTTACACACAAGCACAAGTTACATCTGTGAGCAGAGTGAGATTTATTCTATTAAAGTCATTTTACTCTAAGTCTCCCACTTTCCTTTTGTGTATCCACATCTGTTTTCTATCTTCCTCTCTCCTGCGCTACCCTCCTCTTCTCTCCCCAACTCCCAATGTCTTTTAATGACATCTGGGAGACAATTATCCAGCAGGCAGTGAAATAGCTGTTCCATATCGACCTGCATGGAGCGTCTGCAGCCAATAATTAATAGCTATTGACTATTGGTGGTGTGGGATATTCTCTTGGAACATCTGAATTTAAAAAAAAGCTAACTGTCCTGTCTCGAGAGACATACACACATGGTCAAACTTCAGTGTTATTTACATACCATGCCATTATCACATGAAGAGAGGGGGGAAGCTGATGTGTAGTTTCAATTATAATTTAATTATAATATCCCTAAAACAAAACACGTTTTTTTTGCTGAATTGAAGTTATTGGAGATCTGAAATATTAAGATTGGAGTGTTACAGTAGCTCAGTCATTACAGTGTTGTCTCAGTTGGTTTCACTTGTATGTAGTGTGTTCGTTGTCTTTGCAAAGACATGCAAGTCAGGAGACTGTGATTGTGGAAACCCTATGATGGACTGGAAACCTGTCTGGGATGTTCCCATTACTCTTCTTCACTTTGAAAGAGGGAAAAGCTGATGATTAGTAAAACTAAGTAAATATTGTATAGTCATAGCTTTCTTTAATTTCAGTAGTCCTTTTTTTAAAAAAAAAAAAAGATCAATTAACCTCAAATACAGCACATTACATCAACTATTACTCCCTCCCTCTTTTATATTGTCTGTCTCGAGCTTTAGGAGTATGTGTGGTTACTGCATTAGGTCTGCAGCAGGGTCCTCACTTTACCACTTGATGTGTGAGTGGGTTTGCAGGTTGCACTGCTTTGTGTGTCTGTGGCTGTGGGTGTAAATATGTGCGACAACTGCAGCCACACATTGCAGTGGCCCCTTGATTTCAAAGACACGCTTTCTGCATCCCACTCTTTTGCTCGCTGCAGCATGCTCCTCTGTTTTGTTTGCTTCTCTCTCTGAACAAACAGCTCTGCGTGAGCTGTCGACACAGAGCAGGTGGATGACTGAGTCACCGGAGGAGGGGTGTATCTTAGATTTATTACCTGCGCTGTATTGCATCTCTCAGCTGTGTTAGGCTGCAGCCCTGGCATTCACACAGACAAAAGGAGCTCAGTAGGCCATTGAAATGCATGGTGAATTTCTTCAAAAGTGAAGTGCCCTGCCCGCACATACTGTACTGACAATGAAAAAGTTTAAAGCCAAATTAATAGCCTCCGGGCTAAAGGTTGGAGTACAGCTGTGCCAAGACACCAATTAGCCAAATTCAATCATCATAAAGTGTTTGCATTATTTCATAGTCTAGTTCATAGTAATATTTTACACAACTGTTTGCCAAGATCTTTCGCATAACGTCTGATAAAGACATCCTTTGCCAATTGAAAATATATGTCCAGTCACCCCTAAATGCTGGTCTAAGTGCAGTTTATCGGCAACAGTATCCCAGATGAGGAGGAGGAGGAGCAGGAGGAGGAGGGGGGGGGGGGGACTCAATCCTCTCTTCCACCCCCTCTCTCATTAATGAGCAATCAGTTAAAAACTTTATCGGCTCCTATTTGCTGTCTCAGCACATCGTTTCCTCCCTCTGATTCTCTCAACCACGAAGCCACCTTGTTCTTCCTGTGCTCTCTTTCATTCTGCATCCTATCCGTCTCCGTGCCTCTGCACAGCCCCCCTCCTTCCTTTGCTCCTTCTGTCTCTTGCTTCTTTTTGCCCTCTTTATTGCTGTGCTTCATTACCTCCATCTTCCCCTTCCCCTCACTAGCTCTTTTCCATCCCATACCCCCTCTCCGTCACTCCTCCTCTCCTCTATTTCTGCGTTCCTTTTTAAACTTCGATCGAACGGAGGCAAGCCAGAGAATAGGCGGTTTGATGGACGTCTAGAGAGTACAAAAGACTAGACAGTTTATTTCACAGTGTTCACAGCTCAGTCTGTCACAACCTATTGGCATTCGAGTGTCCAACACTTCTGCGAAATAAATGGCATGATTTACATTCAAAGCCAGGGCCATGGAGATTATAATTTTGTAAAAGAGTGTGAGTGAATGATTGAAGGTATGCTGCGGTGTGTGTCTGTAAGATAAAAAAGCCTTTGTAAAAAATGACATAACCTATAATTTCCCTCTTTCACACTTTGCTAGCAATCTGACCCCTATCTGTGTCTGCACAGAAAGACATTAATGTTCTGTATCACAAATTAAACCAGGGCTTTGAAATCTTTGGTCTTGTTGTGACTGTGAAAGTGTGTCCTATATTCTGAAACAAGGGAGAGTATTTTATCCAACCCTCTCTAATGAGATCACTCCAATGCACTGTTAGTTTGACAAAGGAAAAAAGAATCCCTATGGCAGTATGCAGCATATTTTTCTAGCGATATTAGTACGTCTTCTGCATTATAGTAGACACTACAGTATAATAAGAACCTAACATGATTGTTAAAGGTGCTGCAGAAACAAATACCCAATTTCATCATCCCATCACATGGATGATGTTCAGGCTGTGTTATTGTTATTAAGATTTTCCTCACCTAAGATTCTTCTTTTTGTGTTGTTAATATCAGGAACGAAGTAATCTTGTGGACAAATACTGATCACACTGACTTTGGACATCCTATGAAAAAAGCACACTCGGGAAAATCCATTGAAAATGAAATTGAAATTCTGCAAAAAAAAAGATTAATAAAATCCTGGAAAGAACCCACTCAGTGGTAACAAAGTGTGTGTACCGCAATTATCATTATATTTGGGGAGTTTTCACGGAGAATCAGTGGAATCAGGAAACTGTAAACATTGTGACTTGTAACTCACATGTGCTTAGAAAGGAATCCCGCACGAGTGTAAAAGCTCGTCATTTTACATGCAGCAGTCTCAGAATCCATTTCCACTTTTTGTCCGGACTTTCCCCATGTAGCATCCCAATTCGGCAGTACCAAATCTTTATAACAAATTTAATAAAGTCATGCTTCCCAGGGTTCACATAAATTCTGGGATGATTTTCCCTTAGGATCCTCATTCACCATGTCTAATTTAACTGTTAAATATTAATCATTGATGATTTTGTTAATCAATAATTAGTTCACAAACCGTATGTCCATAGTCCAATGAGACTTTGATGCAGATTTGATGTCCTGATGAAGTTTAGATTTAGTTGTCAGTCCAATTGCTGAAAATAAAATTCACCAAAATGATCAAGACATGAGATGATTATTTCACTGTTGTCCTAGAGTAGAGTGGGGGAGAAACAAACACATCAATCAAACTTCAACAAAGACCCCTGCAAAAAGAATGTGTGAACAGTAAATATGAGCGTGATCAGGTGTGTTACATCATGAAAAATGCTTTCGGCATCATAGTCCACTCCACATGTTCCACGCTCCACTCTAGCTCGCTGAATAGGAATTATTTGCTGTTGTATGTCCCAGTTAACAGCAATTGTGCTTCCATCAAATTCTTTATCTTGCTCTCTCAAATCGTTCTGTTTTTTGGGCTGTCAGAGGAAGTCTTTTGACAGTGCTTCTCCAAAGTTGGGTGCAGCCATGAGAATAGCGATGGTACAGATGATGTTGAAAACACTGAATCCCACCAGGAACAGGCGGTCGATGACAGCTGCAGCAAACTGCCACTGCTCCGCCAAACTGAGCTGGCGGTCTTGCTCCCTAACGCGTTCAACTAAAAACTGCACCTCCCCCAGAAGAGTCTGCAGCTGGTTGTCTACGGACACAGATCGAATCATGCCACTGTGGGTGTGTATAGCAGCTGATCTCCCTCCTCCAGTCATTGCCTCTAGGACACAGGGTCCAGAGGTTGTGGTTGATGCGTCAGGGTCTGGGGACAATGGAGTTTCCTGTGCGGTGCTCCCAAGCCTGGAAGATGGGAGGTGTTGATGGACAGGTGTATCTCCAGCTGGTCCTGCTGCTCCCTCTCCTTCTTCTCCACCTAGCCCACTGTTAACCCTCCCATGACTTGTGGTTCGGCTGCTCTGAACTGGCTCGAGCTCTGCAGTGGTCTGGAAAGTCTGGAAGCCCATGTAAAGCAGATGACCATTGGGTTGTGGATGCGGATTGAGGCTGGGATCTCTGTGGATGGGATTAGGGAGCATAACAGCTTGAGAGTTGGGCCGGTGGGGCAGTGAATGTGACAGGGGGTGGTTGAGCTGAGCCAGGCTGGCCTGCAGGGAGGTGAGGCTCTGGGGGAGGTTGGAGTTCACTGGTGTGGGGATGGTGATGGTAGTAGTGGTGGTCGTAGGAGAGGACAGGGTCTTGCCCTGAGAGTCTCCCTGGTTGTTGGAAAAAGTCGGTTCCGCTGCCTCTCCTGGACGCTTCATCCGCAGGAACCATGGAACCCACTGCAGCAGAACCAAGTGCACCTGACACACAGGGACACAAATACTGATAAGAATTTAAATTAATTGAAGAACACAGATGCACATTTTCACACATAAACAAATCAGAGGAAAAATAAGAGTTCTTTGTGGTTTTTAGAATCCTTCAACATATTGCTGGTCAGGTACAACCACATTTAATATTCTTATTGAGTGTTAAATCTTTGTGTAACATTTTAGTCCACTTAAATTTTAATCACTATGTTAATAAGCTTGCTCAGTCATGTTTTTATCAACTTAGGATCATTTCATTTCACATTTGACCTTTACTTGGTTTTAAAGACAATGAAAATCATTTTTTTCACATTATTGTAATGCACTTTTCATCTATCTTAATCAAAAATCCTTAGACTGGCTACAAAAACCGCACGCAACGATTTAACCAGAACTAAGTGATGGGATACTATTACATCCTTTTTGCTTCTCTGCACTGGCTGTCTGTTCATTTTAGAATTTATTTTAAAAGAAATTCTGTTAAATCATTGCATCAGCAGGCAACTACATTAGCTCTATAACTGAAATGTTTAGTCTTTACAGACCTTTTGGCCATCCCAGAGTCAGAGATAAAGACAGACAGGGGTCATGAAGCGTTTTCTTTTAAGGCCCAGAGACTCTGGAACAATCTACCTGAGGAGAACTGCCTAGCTGAATGTGTGCCCTCTTATAAATCACACATTTATCCTGTTGCTTTCCCTGATTTTAGTTAGTTTGGCTCCCTTTTATTTTATCCAGTTGGTTTTAACCACCAAGTTTTAAGCCTTTTCGTGTTTTATTTATATTTCACTCTACTTTGAGTTGTGTTTTGTTTTGTTGTAAAGCAATTTGAATGTTATTTTTGATATTGTTCAAAAAAGTGCACCATAAATAAAGTGTATTAATTTATTATTATTAAAACTCACCCATCGTGGCATGTGTCCACTGTTGGGGTTGTGGTGATGGAACTGAAGTACGATAACTGTGGCTACTACTGACATTGCGACAATCACCATGGTGCTAGCAAAGTATTGACCTGAGAACGACAGGAGGGAGAGACTGCTGACAATCTGTATGCTATGAACAATGTCAGTTTCCCTAAAAACCACCAAAACAGATACACGCATATACATACACGGAAAGAAACTGACCTATCAAGGGTACAGAGTCTGAAGTGGCGGGCATAATCTCTGCAACCATCAGCATGAAGACAGTCAGAGAAAGCAGAACCGTGATGCCTGGAGGCAGACACAGGACACCATGGAGCAGCGAGTGGGTTGCAAAGAAAAAGAAGAGAAATCCTTAGGAGAAGAAAGTACATGCGTAAACTCAGTGGAACAGTATATTAGCTATGTTGCATTTGAATTCTCGTCACGTCTTTCTGACTCTCCAAGGAAAAGTCATTCGATTTTAGTCTTTCTCATCTTCCCTCCTGCCTTTTCTGTCTTTGCCTTTTCTCTGTCTCTCCTTCCCTCCATCTCAGCCTTCCTGACACCACAGTAAAGCTCTGCATAGCTGATTGAAGGTTTTCCAGTAATGGTGACAGAGAGAGATTGTAAGTAGAAGAGTGAAATAAACCCATGCTTTCACAATGAGTAAAGAACATGCAGCAAGTAATATATTTTATCTTATAGACTTATAAGAGACTTATTATAGACTGCTTGTTTTCCATTTTCTCATATTCAGCCCTTCTTACTGTTGCCCATATTATTCCTCACCCAGGCTGATCTTCTCCCCCGAGTTGGCAGGGAGCAAGAAGACCAGAAGGGTCATGGAGGAGAGGAGCACACAGGGGATGAGGAGGTTCAGAGCGTAAAACAAGGTCCTCCTCCGCAAGGTCACCACAAAGGTAACATCAGGGTAGGGCTCTGCACAGCAGTCATAGAAGACTTCATGACGACCTCCAGGGACCTCTGAGCGGACAGAGAAAGACACAGATGCATCAATGACGACATAATAAGCAGAAAACACCAGTGAGGATGGAGAAAGAAAGAAAACAAAGAATCTCAGGAACTCATAGCTAATGAACTGTGTGTGAATTTGAATATTTTTGCTGAGTGAGTAGGAAGTGGGATATATAGTGCTGTGAAATAAGAAGCATATCAAGAAAAGTCTGACATAGGACCTGCATCATAAAAAGTTGTTAAAGAAGCACGACTGAAACAGAGAGTAGGACAGCTCTGATTTTATGAAAATTTTTTGAAAATCAAGGATGGCGTCCGTTTGGTACCTGAATTATATATTACAGATGTTTCCCATTTACTTTGTGGTGGCAATATGTCACATACTGTAAATGCATAAAAGCATATAAAAGCTAGGTGCAGCACTGCATTACAGTACTGTAAGCACTGGTAATGGAGCCCCGTGTGTCGTCCAGGGCCTCGACAACCTGCCTCACCCACTAGGTCCCACTCTCCATTGGGCATGTATCCTGACACATCCGCCTCCTTCATCTGGATGTCCAGCAGCCAGCCATCAAATGTCCAGGAACCAAACTTCAGTTCACAGCGCTGGATGTCAAACGGAAACCATCGTACATCCACGTTACATGTGCTGATAAATATTCCTTGAAGAGCAGAAGAAAACAGGGGAAATAGTTTACAGTGAAAGGAAAGTAAATATAAGTCCTGTTGAATCATCCCAAGATCTAATGAAGGAGAAAAAATATTTTTTGTGCAACCATCTGGAAGTAAGTGAAGAAGAAAACATTTAATTGCAATAAACATTCACAGAATTAATTTGCTTCAGGATGAGTTATGCTGTATGAATACAGAGTGACTGAAGACGTTGTTTGGTTTTGAGGCCAAGATGCTGATAAATACAAACTTACCTGGAGGCAGATACTCACAGAAGCCACTTGAGTTAACGAGCACATTGGTCTTATAGGTGGCATCAAACTTATCATGAGCACTGGAGGAAAGAGAGACAGAGACAGAGAGTTTAGAGGTCAGCAGCAGCAGCAGCAGCACTGCGTATGAGTGTATGCTTGTATATCACATACCTGTTGTAAAGCAAGATGTCAGGTGTCCAGACCTGATCAGGAGTGAAACGGAGATTTTTAACTCCAGGATACTCTGATTGGTTCCACTGGAGGTAGTGGTCGTACCACTGCTGGGAGACACAAGCACAACACCAGTTTTACATGTGAGCACAAACATGAAGACATACATGAATAAACATAGACAAGACACACACTGTGAGTCTGATTTTCCATATTGTAATTTAGATGTTGTTATTTTGCTCTTTTATGTACAACCAACATATTTTGTTTGTCTCTTCATCCTGGAAGAAAGACTCCTCTGCTGTTGCTGTTCCTGAAGTTTCTTCCTTTTTTCCACTGGTAAAGTTTCCCAGGGAATTTGTTTCTTATTCAAGAGGTTCAAGGAAGGCTTAAGGATACAGGATGTCGTATGCTGTACAGATTGTAAAGACCTTTGAGGCAAAATTGTGACTTGTGAGTTTGGGCTGGATAAATAACACTGAATTGATTTGATAGACATAAATATCTTGGTCAACTCTCATAACAGGACCATGTTTGAGGCAGAAGCGTGATGAAATCTGCAGTGAAGTCCAAATGTCTTCAGATTTCACCCAGTATCATGACACTGAAACCCAGCCAGCAGAACAGATCAATATCAAATTATTAATGTTATTCATTATGCTCACCATCTGCAGCCAGGCATTCGTGGTGATGATCTGGTTCTTTTCATCCTTGCATAACACAAAGAATAGAATATAAGAGAATAGGGTAGTTAAATGGTTAACAGTTTTAAAGGATATGTTCATACTTTTTCATGTCTGTCATGAAACAATACTCACAGGATACTCACATTTACAGTAATGTAAATACTGGGTACATATGGGCATTTCTTGTTTGAATGTATTGTATGAGCATATATTTGTGTTTATGCTGCATTCCTGGCATGCGTACCACATCCATGACCTGCATTAGAGTGAAGGAGAAATGAACAGTGAGAGCCTGGGAGTCGTTCGCCACTGGTCTCTCCATGGGGTTGTAGTCCCTCAGCAGCTCCCTGAGTAGAAACCGCTGGTGAGGACCCTGCACTGACACTGAATAGGAGGGGGAGGGAGTTTAATGGAGTTGGATCACAAGAGAAGAGCAAGAGTAAAAGTGAGAGTTACAAAGAGAAAGCTGTATCAGGGAGAAGGCACTAGCAGAAAAATGGTGTAATTACAATGATAAAAGGGCTGTTTGAGAAAACCGTGGTGTAGAAATTGTCAGACAGGTAAGAAACAAACTAATAGAGGGAGAGTAGACATGCTCCAATGGAGGTAAACAGACGGTGGGCTATAAGTGGTGAAGGAAAAGGTAGAGTTGCTCCTAAAGTGGATGACACAGGACAAGAGAGAAGAACAGAGAATGAAAAGGTGTGAGTGAAAGAGAGCATAGGAGGCAGCAAGAAAATGGGGGGGGGGGGGGGGGCAGAGAGAAAGAATCCCACTCCTCCTAATCAATTACATCTGTGATTGATCGCCAGCAGACAGTCGGAGTCTTTCCACCGCTCTAAAAATGTCAGTTACATTCCAATGCAGGAAATAGTGAGGCCATTAAACACTGAAACACCCCAGACACACACACACACAGCACTCACGACAATGAGAGCGGAGAACTGTATCTCTTTGCCCTGTAACTCCATCAAGCTGGGCCTTTGATTTACTCTTGATTCATTCTCCACAAGGAAATGGTTTTGATGAAGCGAGAGAGAGCTATTATTAGTGTATATAAGAGGCACAATTAATAAGTTTAAAAACTACTCTACACTTTAAAAAGCTGCACACTGCCAGCCAAACATTGCATAACACTTTATATACATTAGTGCTAAATAGTCTTAGATTAATGCACTCACTGTTTTGCGTCAAATCTATATTCACTAACTAGACCTTAATTAATATCAGATGGTATGCCAATAATTCAGATTAATAGTCCCTAGTGTCCATAATGTGCAGCCATAGTTAATTAACCGCTAGCAGCCTCATAATCACCCTTTTCTTTCTAGCTATCTATTATAGTATTGTCTTATACATGACAAAAAAATGCACAGCTCTGCAGTATTAACAATTACATTTCTTACTGTTGCTTGTTCATTATAAAAAAAAAAAATCCATCTGGCTGCACACCAACACACACAAGAGCTTACTGCTATGCACAGTTATTAGGAAGAGAGTGCTCTGTAGCACAGACATGCAAGAGTACATACAGTCTATATAACACATGCAGAAAACACTTGTTCGAGCGCAGTCTCACTCAAAGCACCACTGAAAAAGCACTCACCCCGAAGCAGAGTCGCAATTATCAACAGCCAGAGAGCCCCAGCCTGCCACATACTGCATTCCTCTGTATTAACAGAGACAGAGTGGAAGAGGGAGAAGATGATAAGAAGAGAAGATGAGAGAGGGTGAAGAAATGAGAGCGAGATAGAGAGCGGAGTCTTATGAGGTTGTGGAAAACATGTGGAGAGAGTGTGATACTGGCAGTGGCAGGGAAGGGAAAGGAGGAGGAAGGGAGAGAGAAAGAGAGAGAGCGAGCAGGAGGGATAGAGTGGGTGAAAAATGCAGTGAAACAAATACTCCTTCAGACGCTGTATTTTAGATACTGTGTGTCAGATAATGAGAGCTAAACATACCCTGACCTACAGCTCAAACTCATCCTTCATGCTTCCTTGCTTATTAATTCCTGCCGACCTTCTGATATGAACTCATCTGTCATCACATCAGTACTCCTCGGTTATTTTACCCTGGATTTACTGGGGGGGGGGGGGGGGGGGTCACGGCAGTCGGGTAATCTGGATCATTTTTGAGAGAGTCTATGGATCTAATTTATGGGATTATAGTAGCAGTTGTCTTTATGTGTCTTTAACTTGCAGCTTGGGAAAGAAATAAAGAGAGCAGAATAACAATGTTCTGTTTAAACACTAGTGACCTTCAAAGAAACATAAACACATTTTAAATCAGTTGAAACAGCAAACAGTTTTAAGTTATTACAGTCTGACACTTTCTAATTTATAGCAAATATTTGGAGGCTGCTTTGGTTTTTACTTAGTGCAGTCATCAGTGCATCCACAGAGCAATGCTGACACCTACTGGACATGTTCATAAAGTGCAAACATAATATGTGGTTTCCTAAAACCATAGTATAAACACATTTTTTGTGTTACAGTTTTCAAAATAAAATAAACTCAAATTGTTTTTTGGGGTGGTAAGGAAAGGCACCTTATCACATGGTTTATACTCTGTGCCTCTGTGGTTGTATTATGAGCTGATATCATTTCTCTTCTCCTATAATAAATATGTGATGCCCACACATTCAGAGACAGTGACACTGTGTCCCTGCAGACTGTTTTGATGACTATTTCAAACACAACTTAATTTTAAAATAACATATAAACATATAGAATAGATTTAGATTAAGCATTTATAACTGTATCATTAACAACTTGTCATTTCCAAAACTTCAATATTGTGTTGCTATTCTGTTTAAAGTGAATTACTGTTACAAGGTGAATTTGGTTATTTCTCAGTGAAAATATCATATCATGTTGAAATATGAATATATTTACATGATGTATTTTTTGTGGCAGGTAATGCCCTTTGACTATAGAACTGTGTATGTGTGATGAATATTTACTTTGGTTTAGAATGTAACAGCAGTACTGTTTTCTGAAAATGTAGACAGGTCGTAAATATAACAGCAGTTCACAAGGGCCGTTCACATCTACAAAAGTGGGTGACAAAATTATGACTGTAAAAAGTGCCTTTAAATACAGAAATTCCTTAAAATGTACATGCAAGGGAGGTAAATGTTAAATACGGAGTGACTGAATGATCAGCACCTGGCCACTGATAAAGATGGAAAGACAAACCTTGTTTTTGAATAGTGTTACACAAATAACAATTACCAAAACCTATACATGGGGGAAACTGACATTGCAAAGTAAACACTAAATCAATAATAATAAATTTTTCAATCAAAGTGCTTTACAATTAAAATACAAACAGTACAATAAAATTTAAATTGATACACTGAAAAGTAAATACCACTATACAAAGACATCAAAGATAAACAAAGATAAATAAAGATAACATACTAAAAGCTTAAATGTCCTAAACTGCTTTGGCTAAATTTAACTAACTAAGGCCAAGCCAATTTTGCAATTTTCATAATTTAGGTTGCAACAGTGTAAAAGTTGAAAACTGAGAGTTTGTCCCTCTGTTAAAATATCCAACCCAGAAACATGCGAAGGACACGCCTGAAAGATATTCGAACCTTGCCGATGAGGCTGCGTCATCTACACGGGACGTGTAGCTGTTTGTGTCGGTCGCAAGCGATAGACGTCACTTATTCGCGCACCAGTTCTTTGATTGTTTGTATCGCCGCATTAAATCATTGCACACCAACAAGAGCCGTCTGAGGCGAAGCCCTGCAAGTTAAGGTAACAGATTAACGCGAGTACGTTTCATTAAATTGTTAGAGCTTGGGCGAAGAGAAGTTCCTGTGTTTTGCTTTAGCAGACACGGAATTGGCTGTGCTGCGGGCAGTAGTTGGAAATGGTGCAGTGCCAGTGCGGTGTGCTGTTGCCAGTGATGAGCTAGCAGGCTAGCTAACGTTAGCAGGAGGAAGATCGGTGTTCATTTGGCTGCCGTTAAGTGCAGGCTTCGTCCTTTACTATGACTTCACTGTGACATTTCGAAAGTTAAACATTAGAGAACACGTGTCACGTGTTTAAGCAACACGTCTTACCTTTAACGTCCGCTGTTCAAGTAACAGCTTTTAAGTTCCTTCAAAGAATAACGATCGGCTCCTTCCAAGTCTGCCTCAAGCAAAAGCAAAGGATAACGGCGAGGACTGTCATCCGTTTCCCTCCAAGCGATTAACCCTCCTAAAATAACCACAGCCCATTTAGCGATGGATGCAATAATATCCATGTGTTTTGACTCACATAAAACCACAATGAGACATTTATTCAAGGCGTCAAATATCTAGATGTTTACGAGGAAGTCCATCTTCAGAAGAAATTACAAGGGTTTTCTGAATGTCTTTTATTTTTGTATAGTGGCCTAGACATCCTGTTAAACTTTTATCAGAACGTGAGTTTGAGTTGTAATGATTAAGTTAACGATGATACACACATGTGAAACTGTGTAGGATGATTTTATACATCCCATCGCTACGTGGCTTTGTAATATTAACTGTATGTATCCACTGCTCTGTAATGCAGTTCTGTACATTTGTATTTGGCAACGATAGTAGACGTTAAACATACCTCTCATTCTATGAAACTGAACACAGATTAAATTAAATAAAATAATTCATAATTAAATCAGACACACGTATGCAAAATTTGACTTTGATGTAGTCACACTTTTTTGCGAGTGCACGCACCCCTGCTGTACTGACTTCTATGTTCAACTGTGTGCATTGTAATGAGTGAATACAAGCAATGTTGTTAGAAGCATGTGTGAAAAGGGAATTATGTTATTATTTTAGGCACAGCATGCGTCTGTGCTACTCTTGAGTTTAATAGTTGTTACTGAACAGTGAAACCTCCTTTCCCTTGGATCTTAGAACAGCGAACTCTGGTATTATTTCTATTCTGTTGTTTCCGTCTCTTTTCCTCTCACAACCCTGTTACAAGATCTTGCTGTGATATTTGTATCTCTTCAAAATGTATTACATTACTATAAGCCGTTTTATTTTTAATGTGACCATCAGATCTGAGCTTGTGGTGTCTCCTCAGAACTGCGTGATTCACGTCCTGTCTTGTCCTTGTAGCTCCATAGGCACATTGATTGTTTGAGTTGGACCGCACAGCGATCCTTCTTTAAGCATGAAAATGAAGCGACAGCCACTACACAGCTATAATTTTATGACTGTCAGTTTGTCTGGGCTCGGTGTGCCTCTGCCCATCACGTGACCAACAATAGAAACCTAACTTTTCATCAGAAAAGAAAACGAAACCATCCCCAATGTTTCCTTTTAGTTACACGAGTCAGGCAGTGGATTCCCTTTCCTATCGTGGTACAACAGTCAAGCAACGCGGTTTTACAGCACTTCATACTGCATTTATAAGCCAGACACAGCCCAGGCGTTTTCATCGTGGGAGCTGCGGAAAGGAGCACGCTCGTCCAGAGAGGAAGTCACTGAGCGTTGGAAAAAGTTTTTGCCGTTTCACAAATTAATCGAACACAGTTTAACAATTGATAATCTGCAACCCGTCCCGTGCTTCCTTTCCTTTGCGTGGTTACTCCATGACTTGTCTCTTGAAAGTTAGTATTATTTTTAATTAACGTAAGTCTGTTTAAGTCATCTGGTCACCGAGAAGCTGCAGGAGCAGTAACGTTAAAACCTCCCACCTTTTACCGCTGCCACTTTGCTCTCGTCTGCTGTAGGTGAGCTCCACAATACTCTGAGTCCACGAGGCCTTGTGCTACCGTGTATTGTGTAGTGTTGCATGCACATGTGAGGATATGTGCGCCGTATTTTGAGCATGTACCAGGTTTCATTTCTGCACTGGTATGGTTATAATGGCCTCCTTGATGAAGGAAGGGGTCACTTAGAACATTAAACTATGCATTGGTGGTATTTAGCAGCGTCCTGACATGGCAGCATAAAGTGTGCAAAATAGTTGATTCATCAGTTGTCACGTGGGTTGTCTTGTCCAGGCTCAAAACAGAGAGCAGCATAATGACAGTGGATTCTGAAAAACAGAGAGTTGTTATTTTGGCTGTCAACTGTTGCCTTGCATCAGGGTCAAGATGAGTCAGCTTCAGGCCCTTCTGGCGTATGGGCTGCAGGCCCTGTCGGCCCCTGTTACTGTGATGAACCAACACTGTGGCATTCTCTATTAATGTGGTGGCTCTCTGGCCTGCTCAGCTCCACGTGATAGGCCAGTGATGCTGACTGGGCCAAAGGGGACCAAACCTGACTCAGTATTGGGTGTCCCCTTGTTGTCAGTCTCACTGATATATACATTATTGAGTGTTGTCAGATATGACACTTGAGGCTGAATCAATGTTTGTTGCACCATGGAAGGATATTGGAATTCTGCACTATGCAGTTCATGATGTACATTTCAACTCAGTAAATGTTTTCATGTGGGAGGAATAAACTTTATCCTGCAAAAGCTTATTATTATAATCCAGACTGTCAAGTAGCAACTGCATGGTTTTCTGTCCACAGCTTGTCAATGCTGGGCAGAGCTTTACTCGTCTTGTGTCCTTGGAACTGTCCTTTTTGTCTGCATCGGTGTCTCACTTTTCCCTCCTGCCATGGATCCAGATCCAGCAATAATTTGTAAGGCCAGAAATAAAATAGAATAGTCACAAGAAGGTCTGAATAATTAATCACCACCCTTTTACCCTGGGATTAAGTTTCAGTGTAACTGGGAGAGACAGTATGTCACCCTGCATTATCCTTGTAGACTGGCTAGTGTACAATCTGAAGATATACACAACAGTGTTGGCGTCTGTTAGAAATTATCC